TCTCTGGATTCGCTAATTTTCGCAGTATTTATTTACTTATTTTTACGCGCTTACATCCCATCGCAAGGAGTTTATGAAAAAGTTTGCTTTTTAGGATCCAGTTCGTTTTTATAACTATTTGCTTGAATTGATCCATATGATATATTGGAGTACTGCCAACCAAATTATGCCAACATATGTCAAAAATTTGATGCAAACTTCCGCGGCAGACGGCAGTGAACGTTGTACGTGTGTGCACATTAGGGTGACAGTTATTTCTTTTTAATAGTTAATTGTTAATATTTTAAATTCTAATCTTAATATTATAATATTTGAATAAATCAAAACAAATAAATTTTACCAAAGGACTTAGCTTAGCTGCATGTGTTGCCCATCATTTCCAGTTTAAGTAGAGATTTTCAGTGCTTCCGAAAGTACTGCAATGGGAACTTTTTCCAAGTTTTTTGTCACCCACACTCCCGTACTTTCCTAGGACCCATCATACTGCTATATTTTTTAAATTTATTTATGTATTTTTTAAATTAGTACAAAACGTGAAAACCATTCTTTCTATTACTTGAAAGAGGCACTCACTTTGCAAATTGTGATTTGAATATGGTTGAAGCAATGAAATTAAGCTTCGGTGGTTTCCAGTCGTCGTATTTCATTAGTAAGTCTAAAGAGTTTTTTTAGTTGAGGTTTCCAAGTTTTAAGATGACTTTTGCCATTACATGATTATGAATTTGCAATTTTCCTTGAAGATGGTAATGCCCAAGAGCCATAAAAAATATGTGAGCAAAGCCAGGGAACCATTTTTAAGTTATTCAGATTCAGATTCATTGCAAGGGATCATACCACATAGCACAAGTGATGTGGGTTTAGAAAAGGTATCCGTTTTTTTTTTTACTAGCTCGCCAACATCGATGTCGTTGGCATAAGATTTCTACTGTGCGTTTATGCAAAAAATGGCCTTTGTGGTATATACACCTCGGTCCACCACAGTCGTCCACAAGCGAGTGCATCAACAGACAGTTACACGCCTCACCGTGTACAAACCAACAGCACACACTAATTTGCCGTGCATAGAAAATCCCAGAACCTCGTTGCCTCCAGCGCATTGAGGAGGAGTTTTCTCACGCCTACCTTCTTCTGCCTACCCTGGCTCAAACTCATAGACAAAATGCTACAAAATTATCCTTCAAAAATCCCTACAAGAAAATAATTCCTGAAAGGAACACTTTCAGATTCTGCCATAAATACTCTTGGCTGCATGCTAGAGGATACAAATGCTGGGCCCGGTGTCATACAGAATTAAAAGACCTGCACACAGTCAAAACTACATCTAGGCTTATTGACAACTGCCAAACTCTATTGAACCAGCTAATCACGCACAACGGCGTGCAGTTTTGGTGTTTATGAGAGTTTTTATGGCAATGAAAAGGCTGACGCTCTTGAAAAACGTAGATCCCAATTGAGATTATATGGTCCACTCCAGAGAGCGGTTATCGCTTCGTCCAGAATCATAGAACATGACAACCCCTAAGGTAATTCATTACATGGCATGGTGCTGGGAAATTGATTAGGTATTAGAAAATAAATTTGGGAAAAGCTATTTACAATTTTTGTAACGACTGAGTTAAGCAAGCATTACCTATATGTCTGGGAAAAATGAAGAGCAAAATATTTTCATTTTATAAGAAATTTATATTTGCATACACAAACCAGAATTTTAGCACTCATCTAAAAGCTTTTTCTTGTAGAAAGCACATTGCCGTTATAAATTAACTGAACTTTCACCTCTTCCATTATTAATTAAAATTTTGATTGCACACATAAATCTAAAAATATGAAATTTCATCGACTTTACTCAAAATCAGTCAATGCCAAAATTAATAAGCTCAGAAAAATTCTTGCACACACGTTTTGTCTCATATATACACTGTCGGAAAAAAGTATTCGCACTGCGAATTTTTTACAATATGTATATGCAAAAACTTTTATTCTATTATTTTTACGCAAATTTTTTATAAACATATGGTTCATTCTACAACAAAAAGACATAAAAACATAATTTCTAAACTTTGTGCAAAACTCGCGAAAATTCAAAAAATTTTCATGCAAAAACTTTTTAATCCAATTTTTGAGAATTTTTTTGAGTATTCAGATTTGCCGCCCAATAAATTTATTCTAATCAAGTGGAAATTTGAAGGAGCTACGACTTAGCGTTGATTTTTGGCAATTTTTTTACGCAGTTTCTTCCATAAATAAAAAACTCCAGAATTGAATGGGTTTCAAAACTGCATACTCAAGAAAATTCCGAAAAATCTGATTAAAAAGCTGAAATTTTGCAGGCAAATTTATTTACTTTTGGCGAGTTTTGCACAAAGTTTAGAAATTTTCTGTAAAAAATTTGCGAAAAATTATTAGAATAAAAATTATTGCATATATTGTGAAAAATTTGCTGTGCCTATACTTTTTTACAGCAGTGTATGCATGTATGTACATTCGATTGTATGCATTTGTCCGTTGTAGTAGGAGTATGATTTTCCTGCGTCCTAAGTCATCTGCTTTTTCGACAGTCATACAAATGTTTATCAGAGCCTAAGAAAGCAGCTACATTTTTTCAATAATAAAATTTTATAGCAATATGGTGTGTTGCTTTAATAAATACAATGGATTTAATTAACTTTACTGCGAGTGTGTCCGAAATATTAAGATTCATCATAAAATAGCGTTGATCGCTCACATTTGGCGGCATCAAGACCTGACATGTGCGTTGTGTTGGTTGAAGTAAAGTAAATAAAAAAATACATAGATACTTGTACGTCTACCAAATAAAAAAAAAAAAAATCGATTATGACTTGCAGCGTACGGCAATGCCACTTTTGTCGCCTTCTTCAACAACAGGCGTGTGAGTAGAAGAAACACCTACGAAAAGGATTATTTGCCAGTAATGACAGACAGAACAATGGCGCCCCCATAAGCAGTCGGCAAAATAGGAAAATTGCCACCGCTCGCAACATTTCAAATTCAAAAAAATTGAATTGATGGCACGGGGCTTATGTTATTTACAACGTATTATTTTCTAGGTGTTATTGTTGGCTAATTTACGATACAAGTTATTATTAATATGTCACCGACATCAACATAAATTTTCACATTCGGACATTTAATCACATTTGGCATTAGTTTGTTTATTTTGTGCGTTAATGGTTTGCGTGTTGAGCCAATCAATTGTTGCTATTTTAAAGGTAATTTTATTAGGGACAAATGCGTCAGCAGGCAGCAAACACAGCACAGTGGAACAATGTTGTTTGCTAGCGTAATGTTTATTTAACTTATGGTGAGTGCTTAAGTAGCATTTCTTGTTGAAGGACTTCCATTGCGAAGAAATTGTGAAATTTTAAATTAAAACGCATGCAAGTGAAGGTTGTCAAAATAAGTGGAAAACATTAAATGCGCAAATGACGTGCAAGTGATGATGTTTGTGGTTGATGCTAATAAGCCACACAGAAGAAATAATCACGTGGTATTTGGAGCTGACAGGCAAATTTACTTTCAGAAAAACACTAAGAAGATTATGCATTCGACAAGAGTCGAATTGCCGGACGAATAATAGTCAAATCGCAATTAATATCTGCTACAAGATAGAATTTAATTTTTAATTTTGTTAATGTCAATATGTTTTAAAAATAAAAACGGACGTCGTTTAATACTTTGTCTACCGACTAGATGCGGATAGTTGGCTTGATACGGTGTTTCCCAGTCGCTTTCCAGGACACAATTAGCGCGTTGTTGCGCCGTTTCGATGCACTTCTCGCGGGGGATATTTTATCTATGCTCATTCTGTGTTGCTAGGTCGAACCATTTGGATTCTCTAATGAATCTACCGATTAGCGAAATCGGTATGGTAGCACCTGATAGGTCGGTTAGTTTTTCCAACATGTGTCTTCCTAATATTTTGTGCCTCATTCTCGAAAGCGCGGAACATTCATATGGGAAATGCTGGGCACTTTTTTCGTCATCGTCTAGTTGACAGTTGCGGAAAATCATGTGTATTATGGGATAGACCTATTTTTGACCTCTGGCCTTGATCTGATAAGCAGGCTTAAGGTCTTCGTCTTGTTGTAGCCAGACCATAGATTTCTCGCTAAGTTAGAAGTATATATATCTGACTATCTGCGTCTAGCCAGTTAAAGGAAATGCGAAGTAATCTGTCTTTGGACTACTTCAAGGGGGTAACCCAGTGCCACCGTTTGGAAGTCATCCAAACCAGTTCCTGCCTTCGCCAGTTCGTCCGCCTTCTCATTGCCTTCTATGTTCCTACATACATATGCAGGGGAATCTAGACTAGAGAGACGGTAGTTGACAGAGACACTGAGCTCAGTATCACTTTACATTTCCTAACTAGCTTGGATTTGGAAACCCCAAAACGCTATTCTTGTATCCGACTCTATCGCCAGGCATTTAAAAGGCTTCTAGCATCGCTAGAACTTCGGCTTGGAAGATCATTTCCCAATCGCAGAGACAGGGAAACACCGAGTTCGTCGTAGTAGACTTCCACTCCCACACCGCAATCCATATTGAATTTGTCGGCGTAAAGCAAGATCGCCTCTCTGTCGGCTACTGGGTCTCTTCTCCATTCCCTTATGGATGGCAATAACACTTGCACGTTACAGCTGAACTCCAAATTGCCTGCCATATAGTCTGTCGTCCTGCATAATTGCATTTGATTTATGTATCGAAATTTCTCCAAGCCGCAATTACTTTCAGTAATATACTCGTACGTATGTGCAATATAAATATACATCATAAATTTACAAATTTTAAAGCATTCATTGGGGATGGTATAGTTTACCATCCAATCTCCAATTAAAAATATTTAAAATAATTGTTACTTAAGTAAATAATTATTAAGATAAACTATTTATTTATTTATCACTCTCTTTTATCTATGCGTTTTTCAATACATATTTTTCTACATTAAGATAACTTAATTATTGCATTCTCTCATTTTGCAGGCGATTTTATTTTATACTCCAAGATGGCTGTGGAAATCTTGGGAAGGTGGCAAAATTCATGCACTTATCATGGACTTAGATATAGGAATTTGTTCCGAAGCCGAGAAAAAACAAAAAAAGAAATTACTATTAGATTACTTATGGGAAAATCTAAGGTAAGTGTGAAAATTTGTATATGTACATATGTGTGTATGTATGAGGCCATGAGATCCAGTATATCCTACCAGAACCGTCCGCGTAAATACCCCACGCAGTATCAGGCTATTTGTTACCCAACTGCTAATCTGTAAGAGGAGCGTTCCAGGCGAGTGCGATTCTTAAATCGCTTTGCATCAATTTTTGGACAAGTTTGTCTTGTAGATGGACAGGTGGGTCACCTGGCCCAAGTCCTCAAAGAGTTCAGTATTTAATTTGTGTTTGAGAAAGTTAAAGGTATGCCCACGCCTTTAATGTACCACGGATATTTTCGTTCCTTTTCTTACCAAGTCGTTGGCTTTGGAGTTGGATCAAGGAGAATTTATCGACAATCGATACGAATTTTATGGCCGTTGTTCCTTTAGATTTAATAGTAGCTGTACTGTCAGAATACATAGGGATAGGTCATTCTGTAAGGGCTGAAGCTGTGAGCCACCGAGCGGCAGTCATTATGGCGTTTAAATCTACCTGGAAAAACACAATAGTGGTCCGGTCAGAGAAAACAGAATTTTAGTGCGAGTTCACTAGAGTGAATCCCGCTTCCTACTCTTTATTTTAGCTTGGAACCATTCGCGTAGTTAGCTGTTGAGAATTTTTTCAACAACGAAATTAAATCAATCTCGCCTTAAAATCGTATCTACGACAAAAGCTTGGGTAGTTTAATGCAACTAGCCTCCCAAGAAGTTCTAAACTGTTTCCGAACTGGCCCCGTCCTTTAAGACTTAAAAAAATTGTTCCCACTCATAATTATTATCAATAGACTTTTATAATATAAATCTCAAAATAAGACTCTTTGAAGATTTGAGTATATTTATCTCAATGATAATTATTATGACAAGGCTTTTTTAATATAAGTCTCAAAATAAAAGTCTTTGAAGACTTAAAAAATATTTATCTCGCTGATAATTGTTAAGAGAATACTTTTATTATAAAAGTCTTAAAATAATAGTCATCGATGACTTAAAAAAATTTTCTCACACATAATTATTATCAAAAGACTTTTATAATTCTTTCGAAATTTTTGATGACATTTTAATACTCCACCATGAAATAATTACACTATGCGATAGTCAAAATCGGGATGGGATGAAACCAAAGGGAAATGTTATATCGGTCAAAAACAAGTCCCGGCGTTTCGCTGGGTCACGTCTAGGAATCGAGATCTTTTTTTGACATAACTCGAGAACCACTGGTCTGATTTTGCTCAAACAAATTTAAAAAAATCAAAAATTACAATTCCTTTAATCTGTTCATATAACATTTTTCTATATAATCAACAGTTTTGCCGGTAAAAATAAATGTATGAAGAAAAAAAATATTTTTTGCCTAAAATATTAAATTTTTTTAAAACTGTTGATTATATAGAAAAACGTTATATGAACAGATTAAAGGAATTGTAATTTTTAATTTTTTTTATATTTGTTTGAGCAAAATCGGACTAGTGGTTCTCGAGTTATGTCAAAAAAAGACCACCAAAGGTGACAATTTACCCTATATGATAGTTATATATATATCTCGATTCCTAGACGTGACCCAGCGAAACGCCGGGACACGTATAACTTCTTTTTTACCGATATAACTTTCCCCGGTAGTTTGAACCCTTCCCGATCACTGACCCCTACCATTTGTCTCACAGTGTTATTATTCTAGGTATCTGCTTATTACACTATGTTGACTTGGCTCCTTGTAGTTAGGCATAACTAGATTAAAAAGTTGGTTATGTGTTGCTATTCTGAACTGGGCGATTATCTTAATTTACCAACAATATTTTAATTGCCTGAACCTAATTTTTTATTAGTTTATCCTTAGTTATTTTCAACAAGATTTTAAGTTTGTTTGCATTTTTATTTGTTAAGCTTTGGAAATGGTTAAATACTGCTCAAATATATTCATGTGTATTATGCGGGAAAATATTTTTATGTAAAATAAAAAGAACACATCACGTATGAGTTTACAAAAAGTTTATTAGCACTATAGAAAAATCAATTCTTTATTGCGCGCGTATTCTCATACATACACAAAAACTTGGCTGTTACTTTTTAATAATTATAAATATTTGTTATATAGACATATGTATAGACATAAGTGTGTAGTTAAAAAAAACCTGGCCTCTTATATGTTTACTTTATTTACTTTTTTAATTAGGTATCACAACTGGTGGGCTTACAGATACTACGTGTGCGAATTATTGGCACTCATAAATGTGATAGGTAAGTAAATAGAAATTCTAAAAATATAATGATATTCACTGTGATTTCCAATTGCTTAATTAAGTACTAATTTCATAAAATCCTGATATTCGTTGAAGTGAGAAATACCAAACTTGCTATGTGGTCCACTCAAGGATATTTACAGTTTATAATCTAAGCGCACTTTTCAACAAATTATCAATTAGAAAATTTTGGTGTATCGGTTGAGTAGTTTTTGTTTGTAAATGAAACTTCCCGCTATGACCACAGAATTTGTGTAAAAGCTTTCAGCATTGCATTTCGATGGCACCAATTTCCATTTACCATTTACCTACCGTCAATTATCGCATACCCAAATCAATCAATATCTGTCTGTTAACATATGTACCTACAACAAATGCATTCAACATTCTCGTAGCGATAATGCGGATTTTTATTGAAATAGGAATTTAGAAATATGTATGTACTTTTTTCGCTTTGATAAACCCGCAAGATTTCATCAAAATAAACAAATTGTAGTACATAGTGTGTATGTTTGCCATAGTCTGACCACTGCCAACCACACAAAGAAAATATAAATACATCATTTATGTTTCCAAAATAAGCCAGCAACTGTCGATTATTATCTCGAATGCGTCGATCGCAAACATGTGGGACCATTCCAACAGATGTGGAATTTGAGGGAGAGTCGAGGGGAATTATTTTTGTATAAGCAATTTAGTAAAAATTGTTAATTAGCGTGCGTAATAGCGGATGAAAATTCGACAAGTGCAAATATTTATGTACTATACAATGTGTGGATGTACACTAGGGTGGTCCAAAACTGCATGTGAAAAAGTAAAGTCGGAATATGTATGTTCTCACTCCCTAGAATTGTTCTATACCGAAAAAATAAACCCATTTTTTTTTTCAAATCATAAAATATTTATGGCCGCTTGTTCAATGTCTGGAAATCACTGCCTCCCAGTTGGGCATCATTATCGGCTTTTTCGATATCCTGCATATCCTGCATCGAAAAAAAATTATTTTCAAGAATTCTATAGCATTTTTACGACAAGCTGTTTTTTTCCATATAAAATACATGGAAAACTTTGTGCGCTTTTAGCGACCACCAAATATTTTTTTATTTCAAATTAAAAAATAAAGGTATATTTTTTCTATATAAAGCAATCCTAGGCGGTGAGAGCATTAAAATTCCGACTTTACTTATTTTGGACCATCCTAGTGTACACACTTACAAGTGCATATACATATGTAATTATTATTTCCGATCAAAAATGAATGCAAATACCAAAGAAAGTATTTAGTCCACTAGAAGTTTCTGAGTTTGTTTACTCTCAAGCAAATAATGACGGAAAGAATTTTAAATAAACTTTAGTTTTATGTAGAAAATAGCTACATGAAAGTAAGAAAAATGAAATACATATGTACGTGCTATTAAATATATGTATTTCTAGCTAAACTGGTGCACAAGCATTTACTATTGTGTTTGACTGGGGCTAGGTCTATCCATATATTCGAATATCGGATATCCGTACGGAATCTATTGAGTTGTAAAATAAATAATATAATATCCGGTTATTAACCATTAATTTTGTTGTATGGACACCCGGTTAATATCCATTTATTGTGATATCCGTTTATTCGTATTTTCTAACCAAATATTCGGCTATTCCAACCCTAGTTTTGACTTATATAACATTATCTTTTTAAATAATTTAGATGGATGTAACCGAAAGACCTTTGCAATTTATGCTGTTACATAATTTTGATGGCTTGCACTTGTTATGAGCAATTGCCCCCTTCGAGTTTTAAACTCCCCTTTTTCTAATAGGCATAAACTGTAGTTATGGCTTAGTAGAAATGAACTAAAAACCGTTTGAAATCTCTACCAAAAGGGATTGAAATCTGACTGAAGGGATATGTTTACAGACGGCAATTCTGAATAAAAGTAAAATAAAAAAAAAAACCAGTCTATGCCAATAGCATCAGTATCCTTTTTCATTAGACTATGATGAATATGAGACCACATTTACTATTTTTCGAATGAGTTTCATATTATACATATGTAAAAGCTCGGTCCGGTGTAAACCAGATACGGGAAAGCCAGTTTATTAGACTAACAAATCCCTCCCTAGGGTATTTCATTCCTCTACACATGCCCATAACATAGCCGATTTATGCAATTTTATATGAAGATATAGCTTTAAGTGTAGCCTGATTTCATTGCAAGTGACAATAGGGAAGGTTTTTCGCCATAGAGATGGAAATCATAGGCTAAGGATCATAAGCAATCTATGTAAAGACAACCGTTTGGTGTGGATGTGAGCGGCTTTCTAGAATTGTGTGATTGCCGCCCTACTTCGATCTGGAATATTTTCTCAAAGATTGTTCTCTCGATTAATTAAACTGTGATATGGCTGCTTTCGATTTGTTTTTTTCCTACTTATATAAGTCTTAATAAACGAGGCTTTTTAATATAAATATTTATATAGCTAAATTCATTTTTATCTATTATTCCAGAAAAGAAACCATGCAGAATGTCAAAACCGAGACAAAAGAGTCAACAAATTTTCACAAAAATTGTGTTAAATAATTAGCTAGATTTTTAAATAAAATTAATAAACTGCCATTATTTCGCACAGAAGTATACTTCTTCAAGCGCTGGATTTACCAACCAACCCTTCTACAAAAATACGCTGTGCGAACTTTTTGTAATTTTCAAAAACTATACATTTTTTTTTATTCAAGACCTCAATTTGAAATATTTCTTTGCTAATATTTTTCTATGTGCGCGTGAATACATCCTTATACACAGAAAGATGTGTCAATTTGCATACGCTACGCTACACGCCCGTTCGTCATGTGGTATGAGTAACATTAACGGTAGCCAAATTTACTTTTCGCGGTCAACGGCACATACTTTCACATTACTTGTTACAACTTGGTGATGAAATCTTTTTCATTCTTTCGACAAAATTTAATTAGCATAATTAAATGAATTTTATGCAACCTTAAAACTTTACAAAGTAAAATCAGAATGCCAAGCGCAAAGATTTTTTTTTTAACAAATTTATAGACTTGTTGATACAACATAGTAAATATTTACACAATTTGTAAATTAATCTTTATATTTTCAATATACACTCAATTAAATTCGCATTTGCTAAAAAGGCTGACTAAACAATTTTTTCAGCTAATAAAGGCAAATAAAACGATTAGACAATTTATTGCCATGAAATTAGCAAACAGTTTATTTTACACCTACAAATGTTTTTGTTTGCATCAATTTATTACACTTAACAATTTACAAAAGTCGGTGTTTTTTCCAGAGAGCGAAATCAGCTAAATTATGTCTGTCTTGGACCTAACATTCCTTTTACTGGAACTCCGTGCATTTATTTTAGCTAATTGTTATTTACATAATAAATATTTAATTCGTGCATTTTTCTTTTCAGGTCAAATGTTTCTTATGAATCGATTTTTCGATGGCGAATTTTTGCAATTTGGCTGGAAAGTTATAAAATATATGGAGGATGATCAAGAAGATCGGATGGATCCCATGATCTACATTTTTCCCAGGATGACCAAATGTACATTTTTTAAATACGGTTCTAGTGGGGAGGTATGTCAAAGAAAAAATTATTTTAATGCATAAGTAATTCGATTTTTGTTTGTGTA